AAGAAACTGTCCTGCTGCAGTGCTGGGCTCATGGTTTGCCAAGGCCAGCTGTCCCTGCACCAGAAAGCATTGGTAATTCCTCTTCAGCAGGTGCCCCTGAGCAGACCTTGTGTGTTTTCTTACTCTGTCCATGCAGAATCAGTCCAAAAATCATGTATGGAGCTCTTTGGTAGCTCTGGCCACAATAAACTTTTCTATATTCTTTGCTAAATAGTTTCCTCCTTTCTTTTGCAGCAATTCCTGGCTCTGCCCTGTTGATGATCTCCAGGCTGTTTGGTTCACTTCCCTTGAACCTCTGGAGTCCCAGAAGGGCTCAGCACTGTAATTGCTGTGGGGGTGACATCAGTCCCTTCTCCACAGGGCCTTTTGGGTGTTAGATGGGAGTGTCTTCCCTGAGGGAAGGTAGGGATCAGACCATCTCCCTGAGCTGTGTACCCCAGCCTGGTTTTTGTGCTGCAGCAGGATGAGCACCAGAGGAAGGAAGCCCAGCCAGCTCTGCATTGTGCTGCAGAAAGGCTGCTGTGCTCTTTGGGCTGAGGGGAGCTGGGTTTCCTGGGCTAGCAGATGTCCAGGCACATCCTTCTGCTGCCTTCAGCATGGAACATTTGCTCCACTCTGCTGAATAACTCAAGACTGCCAAACATGCAAGGCTGTGTCCATGCATTGGAGCAGCTGGGTGCTGAGCCAAGAGCCAGGCTCCAGCAGGATGGGCTCCCAGCACTGCCAGTGTTGGACTCTGATCTCCTAAACATCAAGGGCAGCAGGAGGATTGTGTGTGCCACATGGTGATTGAAATGGGCTGGGGTTTATGTTTTTGCCACAACCACATCTGAGGAGCACTGCTAAAGATGCACAGTGAGCGCCCAAGAGTGAAAATGGTGAGGCTGAGATGGTTTTAGCTCCTGGACTCTCCTTCCCAACCCTGCTTTTGTCCTCTTGTGCCCTTAACATTGATACCCTGCAGGTTCAAGTGCCAGTGGCATTTCTGCTGCTCTGCATGAGGAATGTCCATAGCAAACCTGTGGCAGAAGGAACAAGTCACATTGGGGTGCTGCTGCAGAGTCCAGCATGGGCAGAGCAGCCCTGGGCTCAGCACCAGAGGGTTGCAATGACCACAGGCTGCAGCCCAAGGCCATAAGGAAGCTGGGTTAAGGTCCTGACAGCAGAAGTCCTGATGCTTCAGCTCCCCATCATTGCAGACACAGTGAGGTCTGACATCCTCAAGCACTTTCTCCAGCACTAACTAAAAGGTTTTTGCCAGGGCATGAACTTTCCCACCAGCTGGAGGCAGTGCCCTGGACCAGCTGTGTCCACCACAAGACACTGTGGCTTTCTGTTAGGAAGAAGCAATGATTTTCAGGATGACAGCTTTCCACAATCCTCTGAAATCATGTCATGGTCCCTGGCCACTGTCTGGCAGCTGTGCCAGGCCCCGCAGTGCCTGCTCCAAGCCTCGCCTTGGCATGGGATGCACCTCGTGCTGACTTTCATCTTTGAGCCTGGCTCAAGTTTCTTTGTTTCCTCTTTGAAGTCAAGGGGACCTTCCTTTGGGAAATTATTTTTCCCAAGTCTGTTCCTGCGCTGCTTTTGACACGTCCTGAGAGCATCTCCATGCGCTGCCTTGAGTTGCAGGGTGGGCAAAAGCGAGTTCCTGCCGGAGGATGGAGCTTTGCCCCGCTCCTGTGCCCGGTGCCACGCACGGCACGGCCGCAGCTCGTGCTCGGTGGCACAGCCGGCACGGACCCGGCACGGACGGCACGGACCGGCATGGACCCGTACAGACCCGGCATGGACACAGCACGGCCCGGCACGGCCCGGCACGGACCGGCATGGACCCGTACGGACCCGGCACGGACCCGCACGGACCCAGCACGGACTGGCATGGACCCGTACAGACCCGGCACGGCCACAGCACGGACCCGCACGGACACGGCACGGACCCGCACGGACCCAGCACGGCCCGGCACGGCCCGGCACGGACCGGCATGGACCCGTACGGACCGGCACGGACTGGCATGGACCCGTACGGACACGGCACGGCCCGGCACGGACCCGGCACGGACCGGCATGGACCCGTACAGACCCGGCACGGACACAGCACAGACCGGCACGGACCCGCACGGACCCAGCACGGCCCGGCACGGCCCGGCCCCGCTCGGCAGCCGCAGCTGAGCCCCGCTAAAGCCTTGTGGACGCGCTGTTGCTGGGGTGACCGTGTACATATTGCACAACCTCCGAAACACTTCCCTCTGTTTTGTAGCAACTCGCGCTGGAGAAGCGGCGTTCCCGCATAACCTCATCCCACCCCAGGCACGGCCGAGCCAGAGACTCATTCCTGGAACGGGATGAGTCCCGGCAGGCTGCGATGCCCAGCCCCGGGGGAAGCGAGGGGCAAAGAGGATGGGGGTGAGCACAGGGGCTGCTCAGAGGTTGTGCTTGTGCACCCCGAGCAGTCACAGCGCTCCGAGCTCTGTGTGAGGGTGGGGAGGGGGACACAATCTCAGCAGGAAGCAGCACGGCAGCCGATGCTGCACCTCGGGGATGCAGCTGTGTGTGAGCCTCGGTGTGTCTGGGGTGAGCGCTGGAGCATTCGGCTCATTATTATGTCCCTGGGGCAGGAGACAGCCTGGGAACATCCTGACCTTGATTAGAAGGGGAAGGCCCCCGGCGAGCTGAGCGCGGAGCCGTGTGCGTGCTCCTCCATCACATCACAGGACCTGTGCAACCTTCCCTCTCAATTCCTGCCCGTGCCGTGGGCTGCGGACCAAGTCACAGCCTCCTCCCGGGCTTCCTTTTCCGGGCTGCGTGAGGAACCGGGGAGCCGGCCAAGGACCGTGCTCCATCCCGACAGGGCTGTCATGGTGACAACAAACGCACAACAAAGCCCAGCCTTAGGAACCGAAATGTGACCTGCTCAACGCGAGCCCGTGGGCAGCTCAGCAGCCGTGGCTCAGCGCCCCCTCAGCCGGCTGTCCCTGTGTGCCACTGCTGGGCTGCCCGGGCTCTGCAGCCCCAGCACCAGCCGGAGCTCCTGCAGAAGAGCTGCCCACGCGTCCAACTCCTCCTCCACCTGCTGCTGGCTCGGAGGATCCCGGCTCCCACGCTGCCACAGCTGCCAAGTCCTGCTGGGTGCTCCAGCTGATGTTACCTGGCTCCTGTCTGGAGATGTCAGCTGGAAGCAGAGCCAGACACCTGCTTTGGTGGGGAGCTGCAGGGCAAGCTAGGGATAAGGCTGTACCTTCGTCAAGACTTCACCACCCTCCTCTGAGTGGCAGCAGTTATTCCCTTGCCCTTAAAGCAGAGAGTTTACAGCTCCTCCCCACCTCCTGCAGGTGGGATCACACCTCTGGGTCCTGCTGGCCTGCAGAGAGGCTGGTTGAAATTCCCACTTCACAGCCAGGCACTGTCAGCTCTGACCCTCTGCACTTTGGAACCTGCTTTAGTATTGTCTGAGGAGCAGGGAGAATGTGTGATCAGGAGAGTCCTCCTGCTGCCACCTGCTCCACGTAGCTCCCAGGCTCTCTGGCCATGTCTGAGCTCTACCAGGACAAACTGGAGACAGGAAAAACACTTGGAGAGATCTGCCTGGACTCTGGCATCAGGTGGGTCTCTGCACTTTCCCTTCCCACTCTGGAATGTCCCCTCCAGGATGTCCTTGCCACCCTGCCTCTGGCTGGGCTGTGAAAGAGCAGCTCTTGTGGAGCCCCTGATGGAGGGGCCACAGGGTTGGTTGGGGGCACAATAAAGTGGGGTCCTTTTTGTGTCTGACCAGCTGGCCAGGGGCTGTGACACACCTGGGGCCTCTGGCACCAGCCCTGGCACTCACCTCTGCAGTGAGAGGTAAGGTTAGTGATCCCAAACTCCCAGAGCTGGCTGGTGGTTACCTCTGGAGGTCTCCAGACCCTAATCCAAGAGAGAATCAGTGTGAGTGGGGTGCTCATGGCTTTGTCCAGTCAAGAACAGGCAACAGTGTCTCAGGAGAGAGCAGGTACCCCTCAGCCAAGCAGGGGAGGTTGTCACTGGCACTGTGCCCCACGGCAAAATGCTCTAAATGCATAAGCAGAACTGATGCCCTGGGGCAGCTCAGCCATGGGACACCTGTGTTTGTCCTTAACCTGCAGGTTCTCTGCACAGGGAGCAGGGCAGACAGACCACAGGGTGCCAAAGACTGATGTTTGAGCCACTTCCCGGTTCCCAAAGCTGCTGATTTGTCCTCGGGACGCCCAAGGCAGCAGCAAATCTCCCACTGTGTGTCCTGGCTGTGCACAGCTCCTGCTGGTGCTGCAGCTGATCGCCCACGATGCCCTGCACCCCCGAGCGATGCCAGGAGGGCATCAGAGCAGGCTCTGGGGGAGCAGCTGAGGTGGGGCAGTGAGTAAGAGCTGTGGGTTGTGCTGGGGCTCCATGACAACCACAATATTTGGGTACTGCCTCAGCTCACAGCACCCACTGCGAGCCCAGCGTGTGCTCATGCTCCAGCTGCCAGGGTGGGCAGCGCTGGCCTGGGGCTGCTCCAAGGGTGTCTCACTGGGCCACAGGTGCTCACCACAGTCCCTGGGTCACCAGAGGGGCTGGCGTTGTCTCCCGAGCCTGGGCAGAGGCCTTGGTCCGTGGTGTCACCCACCAAGAGGACAGTTCCTCTGTGGGGGGCAGGGAAAGGGCTGGAGGGTAAAGCACAGCCGGGGTGCCAGGGGGAGCCTGTGCTGAGGGGGTGGCGGAGAGACCTTGTGGTCTCATGGTGGACCCTGAAGGGACCTTGTGGGACAAGGCTGGGGTTTGCAGGGTGATGGAGAGAGCTCGTGGGGTGCAGGAAAGGCTGGTCAGGTGCCGGTCGGGTCTCGTGGGGAAGCAGAGAGGCTTCACGGGGCGGTGGGGGGTCCCAGAGGTGGTCCGGGTCCGCTGCCCGGGCTCGGTCTCCCCGCCCCGCGGGCGCTCCCGGGGGAGGCGGGCGGGGGCGGCCCGGCCCCTCCCGTCCCCACGGCCGCGCCTTAAACACGGCGGGGCCGCCCCCGCCCGCCTCAGAGCGCGGCGCCGGGAGGCGAGACACTGACCGGGAGCGACTGAGTGCGCTGGAGGTGAGCGACCGAGCCACCGGGACCCCCGCACCCCCTCCGGTGCCCGTCCTGGGGCCGCTGCACGGGAGGGAGGATGCCGGGGGAGGGCGGGCGGGGGTCGTGGCTGCCTCGGCATCCCGCAGCCGCCGGCGGTGACCTCCCAGCCGGGCGGGAGAGCTGCGGGGCCGTGCGGGCTCGGGCTGCGGGAGGACGGGGCCGGGAGGCGACCGGCGGCATCCCCGCCCCGCCGCGCCTCCTTAGCGACGGTCGCCAGGCAACGCCCATCCTCCCTAGCGACGGTCTTGGGGACCACTCCCCGGCCCTCGCCGAGGCTCCGGGGTCCCACGCCAGCCTCTCTTGCCCGGGAACCCACCGGGCAAGGTACCCGCTCTGCACCTCGGGGTGCTGGAGCTCCCCGAGCTCGGCCGTGCCTGCTCCTGGCCGAGGTGCTGCGGGTGCTCCACGCGTGGTGAGGGATGCTGAGCCGCCAGGGCGAGGCTGGCGAGACGATGGCAGGCGGGGATGGGACAGCAGCAACAGTGCCGCCACGGGGTGCAGAGACTTGTTGGCTACTCGTCACCCCGCAGGGCATCACGCTCGGCCCAGCCCTGGGGGCAGGTGGCAGCGCTGGGGTGCTGCAGGCTCCGCACGGGGGGATGGAGGCAGGGGAGAGGTGGGGCTGAAGGCAGGCGGCCGACCCGCTGCTCCTGGTGTGCGAGCGGGAGGAAGGCGGCCGCATTGCGTCATTCCCGGAGAGCACTCCCGAGGGGACGGACAGGCTGATGCACTCAGTCCCCGCCAGCCCCGGAGCCGACAGCCTCGCTGCTGGCAGCTCTCCACCAGAAACCTCCGCTCCCCAAGACCCGTTCTTGGCTTTCGGCCTCGGGGCTCACCCGAGCCTGCTGTCAGCCCCCATCCCACACCCGCAGGTGCTGCCAACACCCCGATCCTGCTGCAGAGCCGCCACCCTCGCCAGCCTTCCTCCTCCTCCTCCTCCTCCTGCTGCTGCTGCTGCCCTCGAGGGCCTGGAGCAGCCGGCTGAGCTCTGCGTGCAGCCAGAGGAGCCCGGGCCCGTCCTGCAGCGCCATGGCCGGGAACGCTGAGATGGCATCCCTGGAAGAGAGCTTCCGCAAATTCGCCATCTACGGCGACACCAAGGCCACGGGGCAGGAGATGAACGGCAAGAACTGGGCTAAGCTGTGCAAGGACTGCAAAGTCAGCGACGGCAAAAGCGTCACCAGCACCGACGTGGACATTGTCTTCTCCAAGGTGAAGTAAGTGACTTGGGTGCCTTTGCAGCATGGGCAGCGTGTCGGGGTCCCCACAGAGCTCTGCTGTGTGCCCAGGCTGTGCTTCCCACTTGTCACGGAGCTGTGGGAGCTGTCCTGCAGTGTTCCACCTTCAGGTGGGACATGTGGCTGCTTCTGCAAGAGCTAATAATGAATCAACCCAAATTTGGGGGTGGGAGGCTCAGATTTGGTGCAGAGATTGTGCCCCTGTTCCCACTCCAAGAACTGGGGTGGGCCTGGCTGGCTCTACCTCTCAAGAGGTGCCACAGGGAGCAGAGGAAGGTGCTCAGGGTTACCCCATGAGATGTGGCCCTTCCCTGGGCCTGGCCAGCCAACGCCCAAGCTTGGGGAGGACTCTGGTCCATGGCAGTCACAGGGGAAGCTTGAAGGGCTAAAAGGCACCTGGAACTGTTTTTAGGGTCCCTGGGGACACAGTGATGCTTCATGCTCCACACCAGGGTCTGGGAACAAGGATGGGTGAAGAACCTGATTCCTCCATGTGCTCTGTCCAAGAATTCCCATGTTCCTGGGTTGGGTCACGTGGAGCTGAGCACTGGGAGGTTTTTGGGGTGCAGGAGAGGAGGTTGCTGTGCTACCCTAGAGATGAGGACCAGGAGCTCAGGGCAGAGATACTCTGTGCATGTCCTTTCAAATTTGGCTGGGGGATTGATGCCTGCCAGGGGAGTGTGGTGGGCAACCCAGGCAGGCTGGGAGCAGTGGGGATGGATGCACTCCTCTCCTGACACCAGCACCGGGTCCCAGAACACTTCCATGCACCCTGGTGTTTGGTAACAGGGAATTCCACAGCATGTGGCTGACAAGCTCCTGGAGCTCAGCACCAGCTGTGCCCAGCCCAGCCCATTCAGCTGTAGCTGAATTTCAGAAGTGGGTGAGGGTGGACCCGAGGGTGGTGTAGGATAAAGTCAGGGTCTCTCTGATGCAGCTCATCCCATTTGGAGGCAGAACCCAAAGAGGTGCTGGTGGCAGCCTGAGTTTTGTTCTTGCAGAGGGAAGACAGCCCGTGTCATCAACTACGAGGAGTTCAAGAAGGCCCTGGAGGAGCTGGCCCCCAAGAGATTTAAGGACAAGAGCAAAGAGGAGGCGTACGAAGCCATCTGCCAGCTGGTGGCAGGGAAGGAGCCCATCAACGTGGGCGTCACGGTGAGTGAGACCCCGGGGCTGTGGGGGCAGGGGTGATCCCAGCAGGGGAGGATGGAGCTCTGCCCATGGCACAGATGCTTTCTGGGAGGACCCAAGGCCCTGGGTGAGGGGGGACCTGAGGGTTTCATGGGGCACGGGGGGCACAGCAGGGGGGTCTTTGGTGGGTGCCTGGAGCTGGTGTGGAGCAGGGGATGGAACTTGTGTGGGAAGGGGATGGAGCATCTTCCTATCTCCCACGTCTCCCATGCAGAAAGCCAAGACAGTCGGAGCCGTGGAGAGGCTGACGGACACCTCCAAGTACACGGGCTCCCACAAGGAGCGCTTCGACGAGAGCGGCAAGGGCAAGGGCAAGAGCGGCCGGGAGAACATCGTGGACACCAGCGGCTACGTCAGTGCCTACAAGAACGCGGGCACCTACGACGCCAAAGTCAAAAAGTAGGGACGGGTGCCCGTGTGCCCCCCGCCCCGGTCCCTGCACGCTGACCGCGGGTCGGAGCCCAGCCCTGGGAGTGCCCTGAGCCGGGCCCGGGAGGCTGCGCTGGGGCCCGGGGGGCTGTGCCGGGGCTGGCGGGATGTCGGTGCCCAGCCTGGGGGCACCGGGGAAGTCGCCGGGCCGCGATCTCGGCCCCAGCGCCGCGCCCGTCCTCCCGTGCTGTGATCCCCCGCCCCGCCCGTGTCCCCCGTGCTGTCACCCAGCCCCTCACCGCACTAACAGCACTGCTCCTCAGGGCTCCCCGGCGCCCAGACCTTCCCTACCTCAGCCCCGGCTTTCGGGGCACCTCCCTGATCCCCCCGGGACCGCCGCCTGTGGTCCCCTCGGGGACCTGCCTTAACCCCGCGCCAGTGTCACCGCAGCCGCCCCCGTGCCCCCCGCCCGTGCCCTCCCCGCGGGGCTCAGCCCTCCAGGCTCGGACCCTGCGGTGCCGGAGCTGCCGGGATGCTCCTGGCCCAGCCCCGGCAGAGTTTGGTGTCGCCTGGCCACGGGCAAAGGTCTCCGAGCCGAACCCCCGTGGCCCCCGCTCCCTTCGTGAAGGCCGAACCAAAGGATGCTGCAGGCCCGCGCTGTAACCCGGCTCTGCAATAAACCCCGTCCGCACTGAGCTCCGCTCTCCTTCTGTTCGCGGCCGGGCAGCCGCTCTGCCCCGGGCCTGGCCCGGGCCACCGAGGGTTTTGGCAGCTCCTGGCTGGCCCGGGTTGCCTGAGCAACCGCAGGCACACAAACACGAGCGCCTGGCTGCCGCTCCCGCTGTGTTTGCAACCAAACACTGGAGCTCCTGGTAACGATCCCTGGAGCGGGCCGGGCTCCGGGGCGGGACGGTCACTGCGTGAAACCGGCTGTGGGGGCTGTCACCCCGTCCCAGGCACGGGTTGAGCCCGCTGCAGGGCTGCTGCGGTGGCATGCCGGGGTCTGCAGCTGCACATCCACCTCCAGGGTCAGCACCCAGAGCCAGGCTCCCTAAATAACCACGGGGTCATTCCAGGTGCCTCAGCCGTGGCACTGGCACTGCTCGGGGCGTGAGGGATGTGTCGGGGGCTGGGACAGGCTCACTCACTGCCATGGCACAGCACTGCACCTCTGCATCCCAGACACCTGCTTTGGCAAACACAGGAGAAAGAGGTTGTCTGGTTGTCTTCTTGCAGGCTGGATTCAGCCCCATCCCCAGGGAGGGTGGGGGCTGTTAACTCTGGGGGATGTTAACTCTCCTTTCTCCTCTGAGTGGGTTGGAGGGAGTTTGTGGCTCTCTGTCCCTAAAGGCTCTTTATGAACATCCAAACTCCCTCGAAAAAACTTGCTTATGAAGGGAGAGGCAAAGGCACTTTAACCCTTTGCTGCCTCCATTGCCCAGCTGCACAAATGAGCTGCAGAATTCCCAGGGCCAGGCTGCCCTGCATGCCTTGAGGTCTGGGGAGGTGACTCAGCCCTGTCCTTGGAGTCTTGGCAAAGGAAGAGTATTTTGGGAAGAGGTGAGCAGGTCAGGCCCCACAGGACTCATCCCCTGCCTGTGTGTGGTTCTGGTGTGGAGCACAGGAGCTCCCACGTGGGGACAGCCCTGCAGGGTTGCAGGTGTTGACGTGTTTCTGATACAGGGAAATCAAGCCTGGGAATCACAGAATTATTTGGGGTGGAAGGTGCCTTAAAGACCATCTCATTGCAGCCCTCACACCATGAGCAGGGACACCCTGTTGTTCCAAGCCCTGTCCAACCTGGCTGTGAGTGTTTCCAAGGAATGGAGCATCCACACTTCTGTGGCCAGCCTGTGCCAGAGCCTCCCCACCCTGCTGCTGAGGTGATGCCACTGCTGCAGAGGTGCTGGCTCATCCAAGGCAGGACTGCAGGATGTCCCAGGACAGCCAGCTCCAGCAGCCAGCCTCTCCCTCCTCTGCATCCTGAACAGAAGCAGCTTCTCCACAGCCTGTGGAGCCCTGCAGAGCTCAGGTAAGAGCTCACAGCTCTCACAGCTCCCACCTGCTGCCACGCCCTGCATAAAGATGCTCCTCCTCACCCACTCCAGTGCCTCTTCAAGTCCTTCACTGCTTTCTTCACAGTTTACACAGAATTTCCCCCCTCCAGCCTTCTTGGTTCTCAAGGAGGCAGCTCCAGCACCCTGTTCCCAGCATGGAAAAGGCATCTCAGTCATGCCAAAGCAGCCCCAGGAGAATTTGTGCCAGTAAAAATTGGCTGGATCTGTTGGCTGCAAAGTGCCCCAGATCAGCCTGAAAAAATCATGTCCTCTGAGGTGATGGGAACAGCTTTCTGGGAAGAGTAAGATATTGATCTAGATCTTCACCAAAAAGGGGAATCTTACTGAATTCCAGTGTAATGATCTCCTGTGTGTGCATGTCCAGGGCTCCCCTGTTCATCCCTGCAGGAGGGTCTGAATGCCCTTCAGAAACAGCACCTGCAGTGCTGTGGCTGTGGCCTGGTTACAGACACCTCCCACTGCTCCTCAAAGTGGTCAAATCCAGGTGGAGACACAGGCAAGTGCAAGGAATATTGCCTTTAAACTCCTGAGCAGCGTGGGCAGGAAATCAGAGGTTCCTGGAGTGGCTGGCAGTGGGGCACAGACTGACAAGGAGAGGCTGAGCTGGATTGCTCAGCACTCCAGAAGACCAAAACCTGAAGAAACTTCCACAGCAGCAGCAGCTCCAGCTCTTTCCCCAGCGAGCTTGAAGTGGTGCCACAGGCTGCTGGGACCCTGCAGATCTGCTCTGTGTGATGGAAGGTGACACTGCCCCAGGCAAGGGCCTGCAGCCATTCCTCATGCTAATGACCTCCCCTGGCCAAGCATCTGCTCTGAGCTTGGCTCCCCACCAGCCCCAGACAGACACTCAGCCAGCCTGCAGTTCCCTGGCAGCAGAGGAGCCAGCAGCAGGCTGTCCCAGCCAGGGTTTGTGCTGTGTGCACTGGTCCAAGCTCCAGACATGAAGATATTTTCTCCTTCCCACTTGTCTCTCCCCTTGGTCATGCTCTGGCCACGCTCCCACAGTGGAAAGATGTGCCAGATCTTGTCCCCTGTGGTGCCCTGCCACCAGAAACTGCCACCTCCTCTGGGTTTTGGACAAACCCAGACTCTTACAAGGTGATGTCTCATGCAGCCCAGAAGGATCAGGTAGGTGGTTGCAATTAATTTAGCTGTAAAATGTGTTTTCTGCCCCAAGGTCTCTTCCCTAGAGAGCTTCTAAAATGATCTGGGCTCATGGCTAACGTGCTTCATGCTTTGACAGCAAGTTGTGTGCTGGGGATGAGGGAGCTGGCTCCTCTGGGAGGTAATTTCTCTCTAGGATGAGCAATTGGACCAGAAATACCAATGAGGATGGATCACTCTGGCCCTCAAGGATATAGATGTGTTCCTAGAAGAGGGAAATAATGGATACCAATATGCCCAGGGGGTTTTACCCTTTCTGCCCCTGTGCAGGATCACCAAGAAGAGTTCCTATGATGCCCAAACATCTTCTCCCCAGGGAACATCCCTCCTCAGGGAGCACTGTGCTGGTGCACAGCAGGGCCTGGCAAACACCTCCCTGTGGAGCTGTACCTGCCCTGCTTCCTCAGTACTTTTCCATTTCACTGCTAGCCTGATGGACAACGATTCCAGAACACCCAGACAAGGCTGTAAATCGTGTTCAGACAAGATGCAGAGTGCAGCTTCTGTCACCCAAACCCAACACTTGAATTCCAGCTCCTCCTGAGACTGCTGTGGCCACGTGTGCTCCAGGCAATGCTCACTGCCAGCCACGTGCTCCAGCACTGAGCTGCAATATTGATTCAGTGCCCTCTCAGATGGAATTCAATTAACTAAATTACCATCTTCCCAGCATGGCGTGGTTCCAGATAAAATGTTATTATCCAGGACCCATCCCTGCATTTTGTTAATGTAATAACTGCAGCAGAGTTGTGGGAACACAGCTGGAGATGGAAGAAGGGAGATGCAGAGGAAGAAAACAAAAGGCAAGGATTGGATTCACCAGATTTAAATACAACAGGAGATACCATGCAAGGTGAAACTGGACATGGTCCATATTTAATGTCTGTTTTGTTCCTTGTAGAGGGCACAATTGTGCAATTGCTCTGACCTCCAGAAGTACCCAGAGCTGTGTGCACAGCCTCACAGGTGTGTGATGCACACCCTCCCCGTGGGGGTGAGGCTGCATTTCTCATGACTGGTGCATTTCTCAGCTGGAAGAAGGGTCTTGGGAACAGTGTGGCTGCTCTCTTTAGGCAGCTGCTGCAGCAGGGTGGTTTGTGGATAGTAAAGACCCAGGCAAGATTGTTGCAGAAAAAGAGGAAATAATAAGCAGGCATTTGGGAGAGGGCACCTGCTGCAAGGATATTTTTCCAAAACTGATACACTGATTTCATCGTGGAACTATAGAATGTTTGGGACTAGAAGGGATCTCAGAGATCCTTTATTTCCAACCCCCTGCCATGGGCAGGGACCTTCCACTGGCCAGCCTGGCCTCGACCACTTCCAGGGATCCAGGAGCAGCCACAGCTGCTCTGGGCACCCTGTGCCAGGGCCTGTCCACCCTTATAGGGAAGAATTTCTTCCCAATATCCAACCCAACCCTGCCCTCTGTCAGTGTGAAGCCATTTCCCCTTGTCCTGGCACTCCATGCCTTTGTCCAAAGTCTCCCTCCAGCTCTTTTGGAGCCCCTTTGGGGACTGGAAGGTGCTCTAAGGTCTCCTCCTCTCTTCTCCAGGCTGATTTCCATTTATTCAAAATCACATTTTAAAACATTTGTACTTGGAGCTCTAAGCTTGTAGCCCAGAGCTCAGTGTTTGACAACCTGCACCTACAGCCAAGATTCATTTCAAGATTTCATGCAGAGATTGCTGACAGTCCTTAATAACAGATAGAAGCTGTTCCAAGAGATCAATAGCAGGTGCTAAGACAGCTGGAAGCACATCAGTGGAGCAATCACATCTGTGATTGCAAAAGGCAATCAGGTCTCCTCTCTGCTTTGACCCAAGATATTTTTATAAACAAGAAAAGGTTTCATCAGACACAGAATATTCCTGATGTGCTGCTCACTGAACTGGCATTTTCATGACTTGGCTTAGAAGCCTGTGACCAGTTCCAGCCTCATTAAGGGTATAATGTGTGTTAATGGTCCCCAAAATAGCTCTCTCTTGTGTCCAAACCCATCCATTTGCCAGCGGGGGGGGCATTACGAGAAGCAGACGCGGCTGGAGGAATTCTGCTGGGACAAGGCACCACGTCCTGCTGTGACAGGGGAGCTGTGACAGCCTGTGACCAGCCCACCCCTCTGCCTCCTGCACAGCAGCCCTGGGCTCCTGGAGCTCAGTCCATTGTTTCACTTCCAGTCCTGGACATAACACCTGGAAACTCAGACATTTCCCAAAATAACTCCTCAGAAGGGAGCACAGGGAGAGGGGTGGGTGAGTTTGCAGGTGCTGCTTTCTGAGCATCTTTCTGTCAGGCTGGGCTGCTCTGAGGGACAGAGGGGATCCAGCAGCTGGAGGTCACACACAGCAGAAAATCTCAGAGCTGCCTGTGAGAGGCTGCACATTCTGTTTGTGAAAAAGCTTATTTTGGTCCTTCAGCAGCCCAGGTATCCACCCTACGATGCTCTGGCT